TTAACATATGTTAATGAAGGCGTGTCAGGGGAGGTGTCTTACCTACGCTCAGTTCCACGTTAATTGTGATGTACAAAGGCAATGTGCGTGGATTCACGCAGTTTGATACATCTGGATTTTTTTTTTGTGCGTACGCCGTTTTCTGGATTTGACCGTACGTCAGGTTTCAGTAAGAAATCCACGCAAGTCTTTGTACATGAGGCCCCTGGTGTTTTTAAGCAGGAACTGCACCACAGCGTGTTCAAATGAACTCATCCAATACATAAGACTTAATGAATGAGTATGACTGAGTATCATCAGCATAACAATAGACTCGTGTAAAAGATGTTTATCTATTGAACCAAGATTTCTTACTGTGATGAAAATTCAGTGTTGTCGCTTACTTTTATATTGCTTGGATCATAATAATTTGCTAAGTGACTAAAAAAATCATCCTTAATCTTTCCACTCAGGCTGATCTGAAGGAACGATATTCAGTAAATGAGCTGCTGGCTGACCTCGCTGGATGCAGGGCCACTCGTGTTCTTCTATTCGTGGATCAGAGCTACAGTGGCGTCCTGTCCAAAAGGCTGAGCAATTCACAGAAACATCTCAACGTAGTTCTGGTCCAGGGACCAGCTTGGCACAACCATCCTTACCAGAACCAGAGGCTGAGCCATGGAGAGGATGGCAGCAACTGGTCCCTCATTAGCTCTACCACCTGCCTCTTGGACCACCTGGGACAGGCAAGTTTTCACAAAAAAAAAAAAAAACCCATTCTATTCTGTCTCTTCTGGACCAAGTTTTTAAATCTCATCATCCTCTCTCAGGTTGAAGGTATATCTCACCGACTGGAGTCACGGGCTGCCCTTTTAAATGTTACGTTGGCAGGTGCGCCTTGCAACGCAACTCCACCTCTGACAGACAGCGAGATGCGCAGAGAGTACCAGGGCTGCCAGAACCTGCCGACAGCTCTATGGCACCAAAAGTACAGAAGGACCAACTGAGAAGGACATCAAAACCTACTGAGAGATGAAAAAAGACATGGAAAAAGACCGTCTGTAAACATTTCCACTACAGACCTGTAAATGTACTGCTCTTTATTTGTTTCTTTTATTTTTTCTAAGGTAAAGTCCACAACCAGAAAGTTTCTGTGAATACAACAGGTTTTTTTTCTTTAAGACTTGCATCCACATAAGGCTGATACAGCAGGTAAAATAAGTATTGAACAAGTCACCATTTTTCTCAGTAAATATATTACTAGAGGTGCTAATGACATGAAATTTTCACCAGATGTCGGTAACAACCCAAGTGATCCATACATACAAAGAAATCAAACCATAAATGTGTAATAAACAGTGAAGTTTGGAGGTGGGAACATCATGGTGTGGGGC